CCGGCTCCCCGAGGGCTTTTCCCATCGCGGGTTGCTGACGCCGGGCAGGAGAGGGGCGATCCCGGCCCTCGGAGCACCCGGCGCCGCCGGGAAGGGCTGAGCTGCTCCCAAAGCTGGTCCAAAAGCTGTTCCCTTCCAGGTGGGACCGATAGCAAAGAGCACCCCGCACTTCGCCCCTAACCAGGAGCCCTCCGCCGTCGGAGCACCGCTCCAGGAGACACCTTTCCCCCATGGGCGTTATTTATGGGATTGCCAAGTGCCACTGCTAGCGAGAGGCAAGCTCTGCCAGGGAAGGCAGATCCCAGTGGGGCCCAGCAGCTGAATCCCATCGCACCCCTCCTGCACCCCCCTCGTGCTGCCCAGTCGGCTGCTCGCTCCTTGGGGAAGGCCCCATTTCCCACACAGTGGGGGTCCCCAGGATCCCAAGTCCCCTGCGCAGGGGTCGTGATGCATGGGGCCCCACACCGAGATGACCCCAGTGCTGCAGGAAGGGGCTCAGGCTCTCCTTGCCCGCAGTCAGCAAGGGAGGACGGGGCTGCTCCCCCCCTGCGACGCCCCAGCTGCAGGGCCGAGTCCCCGCCGCTCAGCCAGGGAAAGGCAGCCCCAGGGTCCTGGCCCAGACCCAGGCTCATAAACTGCTGCTATTTTAAGGGCTCAGAGACGATTTTTCTTAATTTATCAAGCCCCAGGCCAGGAGCTAGTTCCAAAGGAAATGTTTCCTTAATAAAAAAGGGAACCACAGAGGAAGCTTTAAATGTAGCCTCTGCCTCCTTGCCTTATCCAGCAGCTCCCAGGCAGTGACCTGGAAAAGCAGAGCCAGTTCTCAGCCACTGGCCCGCAGAGCACCATGCCAGGGGAACAGGGCTGCGCAATGAAGCGGGGGGGAGCAAGGTAACAGTGGCGGTCAGGGGACGCGTGACAGCAGGGATGCTTCCAGCAGGCAGCCCATCATCGAGGCAGGGGGAAGCTGCTGCTGGGATGCCTGAGAGGTGTCCTGCCTCCCCGGCACAGCCGCATCCCTGGGAGCTGCCACCTAGAGAGCTGTGCCTCCATCCACAGCTCAGCCCACTCCCCAAAGGAGGGACCCAGCCCCACGAGCAGGGAAACCATCAGCCTTTCCTCCCCTCCACTCCGTCTGTGTCCGGGTGCTCCCTCTCTCCTCCTCAGGAGCAGCCGGGGGGTCCAGGCTGGTGCCTGTAGCTTTTCAGTGCTCATCCAAGCCCAGCACAGCACTTGCCAGCCAGGTCCTGGTTTGGGTTACTGACCCACCCTGCAGCCCTTTCCCTGCCAGGCTGGCCACCGCCTGCCCCGCAGAGCCAAGTCCCCGCAGCACTGTGCCCCTAGGCCAGCCCTGGGCTAACCCAGCTGGTGGCCCCCAGGCAGCCCCATACCAAGCGTGGGGGCTCCCGCTCCCTGTGGGCATGGGAGGGACTGACGCTCCACGGGGTCTGGCCAGCGCCAAGGGCAGAGGGACAGCAGCTCACATGGCTCTGTCTGGGCCTATTTGTAACCAAGCCTGCCTACAAAAATTAATCAGAGCTAATTGGCTTTTAGGTAAAGTCTTCTTTGCAGGAGCTCTGCAAGAGAGACTTTGAAGTGGGATTGCAAGCGGCAAAACCTTTATTTAAACACAGGGTGCTATGCAAGGACAGGCTCCCAGCCCCAGTATCACTCCCTGCTCCCTTCCACACAGAAGATGTCAATAGGTTAAAATCCCGCTGGATAACTTTCACTTCCCATTAAGTACACCCGCTTTATTTACATCTCGCTGATTACAAGAGACAAACAACATCCACCAGAGGTGACACTTGACAAGAGCTGGCTGCTCCCAGCAACAGCAGGACACAAACCACTGGTGCCACAGAGCCTTTCCAAAACAAGGGGCCACGGCCCAGTGCCCCCCCTCACCACGCTGCCAGGATGGGGTCATCCCTCCTGTTTTGGGAGGATGCAATGCTCTGTGGCTCTGGGTCAGAGCTATGCGTGATGCAGAACAAGATACCATGCAGGGATCAGTTGTTGCTACGGCTCTGCTTAGCACTGGCTTTGAGATTATTAAGGAAAAGGAGGGAGTTGTCTTCCCCCCCCCCCTCAGTCACAACCAAGCTGCTTTTGCTGTGGGCTTCCAGCCCTCGGCTAAGCAGATCCACGCAGCACGTTTAAGCTGTTAAGCTCAGCTGAATAGGGCTGCTCTGTGTGCAACCACTGCTCAGCAGTGGCCAACTTAGAACCGCTCAAAAATACAGACATATATTCATACAGACTCCACACAAGAAAGGATTTAGACATTTTCCAGCTAATAACAAGTAATTGGCTCCAGAAACACAGCAGTGATCCAAGGCAGAACCCGTGGCACAGCCAGTGCAAGTGCAATAGCTCATTCCTTCCCAGGGGCTCTCGGTGCGCCAGTGACCAAGCACCGCCCCGGCCTCCCAGACCAGAGACTAAGACAAGGTATGGGGCTGGGACGAAGGCGTGAGGGGCTGGAGAGGACAAGCACAAAGCTGGGATGCCAGTGGTGAGGCTTGCCCACCACCACAAGACTTCTGCCAGGCTGGGCATTGCCTGGCTGCCAGCAGGGCTTCACCCCCGGGCATGGCCCATCCTGGGCCAGCACCCAGCCCCAACAGCAGCTTCAGTGTCACTGGTGCAAGCGTCCCAGGGTGGGGGGAGAGGGGATGGTTGCAGCAGCAAGCACACACTTCTCCAGGTACGAGAGCCCCACCAGCCCGGCGGCCGTCACACGCTGCTGGCACCAGCGCGCCCAGGCCCAGGGCGAGGTGCACAGGACACCGAGAAGCCTGGGAGGATTTAGGCTTTTCACAGCAATCAAGAAAGTGGCAGCACAAAAAACATCCCTCGACCCCAGTCCCTGCTCCCTGTCCAAGGCCTTTCCATCTCCACCCAGGGCTGGGATGCAGCAGGTGGAGGGGGATGCTCTGGGCAGGGGCAGAGGCACAGAGGCTCCAGGTTTTCTTACTCTTCTTGCGGTCGGCTCAGGAAACAAGTGCTCGGGGGAGAGGTGGCCCCGAGGCAGCACTGGTGTCCCGCTTGTCTCCATCCAGGCGAGACGAGCCCCTCTGCCCCGGGGTCTTTGGGCATCACGTGTAGTTGCCCGGGCCGCCCAGAGGGATCACAAAGACAGAGATGTCATCGCCAGAGCCCAGCTTGTCGTTGGACAGCCGCCAGCCCCGCTCCTTCAGCACCCCCCTGGACCGCACCACCAGCTCCTGGGCCACCATGGTGTACCTGGGGACAAAGCACAGCAGCTCAGCAGCAGCCCCAGACCCCGCAGACTCCCTGGCGCAGCACGCTGCAGTCCCTGGCGAGGAAGAAGCTGGAGGAGCCAGAGGTACAGGAGAGAGACCCTTGGAGAGATCTGAGCTCAGGTACACGCACCTGGGGAGCTCTGCATGCTGCGGAGCGACAGCACCGGCCCCGTGGCCAGAGGGACCCGTGGGCACAACACTGCTCCAAGGAGCAAGGAAGACGTTACAGAGCAGGAATTTTTTTTGCCCGCTCTCAGCTCACCTGCACGGGTCATTGGGCTCATAGCTCGTCAGCACCTCCATCACCACGGCAGCCACTTCCTTGTCGTTGGTGACATCCCAGAGCCCATCGGTACCCAGGACCAGAACATCATCGGGGCAGTGCTCATATTGCGTGAGGTCGTAAACCCTGACCTGGCAAGCAATGGGGCAAGACGCGAGGGTGAGGGGCAGAGGTGGCTCCCGGAGAGCCCAGGCAAGCGCTGGCACTGCCCCAAGCTGCTGCGCGGGGCGCACCAGGGATCCGGTCACCCCCACCGTCTCTGGCCATCACAGGAACCCCTGGGTGCAGAGCAGCCGGCAGCCGGGCTCACCTCTGGGAAGCAGGCTAGGAAAGGC